TGGGTTCTTCGTTGAGTTTTCCGCTTCGAAGTAATTTTTCGGTTTGTTGTTTATTTTTAATCTGGTAATCAACTGATGATGTGCCCAAAAAAGTACTTGCTGTCACTGGCACTTATGGTACATGTTTCTTCTTTCAAATTCAATAACCCTCCCACATGTACGTCAGGAGTTTTCGAACGAATCGTCCACAAACGAAGATCATTAATAACTTCATGTAACGTGACATTTTCGTATGGGGGTTAAAAATGCCTATTACCTTCGCCCTTCTTCCCCTTCATCTAGTTAAACTCAAAAATACAAAAATCTATAGGCGCCAGGTAATTTTTAGCCGGAATTACCAAACCGGATGATTCTACAAAACCAATTCTAATTGATTCCAAAACCTCAAAAATTCACACAAAAGGGAGAAAACTAGATTTCTGGGGAAAGGTAACGGTCCTGGGTTCGCTCAGTGTGCTAGGTTGTGGAGAGAGGGCTGGATTTCAGGTGGAGACGGGTATTGGGTGGCCAAAACTACAAAAAAAAGGAAAAGAAATCAACATCGTTCTTACGTGTTTCTTACGTGTCTATTGAAATATGAAAATCACCAATTTTTCACAAAAAAAAGACATTTCAATTCTCCCAAAAAAAAAAAAGAAAAAAAGAAGAAAATCTACAATTAATAACTAACAATACTAACAATAATATTAATTCCGTACTCTGATAGAAAATAGTCTAATCTGACAAAAATATTCGAAGAAATTAATATCANTCTAATCTAACAAAAAGATTCGAAGAAATTAATATCACCGATAAATACCTCAAATATCCCGAAATAAACATTTGGGGAGAGTAGAAATACACGCTAATCCCTAAATACTCGAGAATTCCGAGAATTGGGGGGAAAGGTATGCGAGCGACAATGGGAGCGAGAGAGAGGAGAACGTATTCCACCATCGATTTTTCGTACCAGCCAAAACGGCTGAAATTCCGTAAAACTCAACTTGCCATAACTCGAAAATGGCAGAGTCAAAAATTACGGACCCTGAGACAAAATGTCCGGGAGAGTCTACCGAAGACAACAATACCAAAAAAATAATTTTTCCTAAACAATTAGCCGCCCCAGGTTCATTAATCCCCGAGCGGAATTCTAAACGCTAAAAGGCTCGCGTGAAGCGAGAATAGCCACGTGTAAACGTGGATGAGTATCTGAGGGGGAGTCGAGAGTCGGGGGGAATTCCCCCTCGAGAAACACGGCGTACACGCCAGCGAGAATGA